ACAACGGTGCAAATGTAATACTGTCTATATACATCCCTGTTGAAATATTCCCCATTGCATCATCAACTGCTGCTTCTTTTGTTAATAACAAAGTAGTTAATTTGTAAAAGTACTTGTATTAAAGGAACAGCTACACATCTCTGAGTGAATATGACCATGTCCCTTAGAAATGCATGATAGACTTGAACATAAGTAACATATTAAAACATTTCATCTATCTGTCATTTCTATATATTGCTACAATAAAGAAACCTCATTGTATTTCATGACTTTTACATCTAGAAACTATTGAAGTGGAATATTCTACACGGTCACCACGTATATTATTTAAGATGCACAAGCAGAGGGGAAAAAAAATTAAAATTAAGGTTGTTCAGGGTACTTAAGTACAAACTGTACATATCTTTGAAGTTTTTAACCTAGCTTTGTAATTGTGGAGAAAAAATACCATGGAAATCATTAACAGCTGCTTAAGTTGAATTCTGAGTTTACTTAAGACAAAGTACATCGAACACACTTGCTGTAACTTGTATGGCAATTATACCTAAGGGGGAAAGGAAGGTGAAGGAGTTAGTAATTCCAGGGTCTCACGGTCTGTGCAGAGCCAGTGTAGGATGAGAACTTACCTTTTCCTTACTAATGTTCTCTATCCATCAGACCATAGCCCAAATCAATTCTTTAATTGGAATTCATTTTTAACCCAGCAAAAGCATGTCATGTTTAATTTTTACAATAGCTTCCTTGAAAAAGAATAATTAGGTTTTCCTTTATAGGGGAAATATTTTTTAAACTGTAAAGAATGTTCTATATGTAGACAGAGAAAAATCTGTTTCAGCCAATTGCAAATTACAGAAAGTGTCCACCTCAAAACTAAATATTCTAAGAACATGAATAGATGTGGCTAAAAGATGGCTTATAATAAATTTCCAAATTATGGAACACCTTTTTTCAATTTCCAATGTATCTTTATACCTACAGATAAATATCAGTATTTCTATTTTTGCTCTTTTTCTTAGAAAGGAAGTTTGTTCTTATTTAAAAAAAAAATATATATTTCCTCAGGAACCTGGACAACAAAACTATGCATTAATTCAGACAACTTCACTTCAGCAGTCTTATTTTTTAACTATAAGCCCCAGCAGGTCTTTGTTTTTCTAAAGGTGTGGAAAAGAATAAATATGTAGTCTATGATGTAATGATGCAAGATAACTCTAATAACAGGACTATGGATGTTAATCTCTTAAAATTCATCAGCTAATGATTTTAGGAACTAGTATGTTGATACAACTAATCAGAGGTAATGAATCAAAATGTATACAGGATTTGAGGTAAATATAGTAGATTTTACTTATTATAAAATTGGCTCTGTGGGAAATTGCAAAATGTGAGAATTTTTAGGACATTTCAAAGAAATTGGCCCTAGTCTTCTTAGTTAGCTAACACAACTGAGGTTTAAACCATGCCCTAAATCAGTCAGAGATTTTTCTCTGTAAATAATGGGGTTGATCAGGCTAAAATCCAAACAACAAACCAGGCCAAAGACACAATAAAAAATCCACAGAGTAGGAAATCTCACCACATTTTCACAGCTGAAAATACTGAGTTTTACTTAAATACAATGATAGGATGGAAGACAAAATAAAATGTTGATGTTTTAGAAAGAATATAAAGTTTTACATAAGATATATAAATATGTAAGATAAGAGATATAAGATATATAAACCAATATAAATATTGGTTTTCTTCTCACAGGGAATCCTCCTCAGGTCTTTACATTATCAGTAACAAAAGTTTATTAATATGATGCACAAGAACTGTTACTAGTTTTTAAAAAAGACTGTTGGCATTACACAAATGGGCAGATTAATGACTTAAGTCACCATTTCTTGCATTTTTCTCTTCCCTAGTAATGATTAATAACTTGTCAAGATTAAAATTTAAAAAAAATTAGTTGTCAAAAGAGTATCTTAAAGAGAAGATTAATATTAATATTGGTGATCCCAATAATAATGAGTGAACCAAATAATAATCACACCTCCAGTGATTTGTTCTATTGCACTACCATACAATTAACCTGCCTTTCATATAGTATTAGTATGATGAAGTAAATAGGTCTGTTAATGCCTTTTTAAAACATGCAAGTAAATGTCTGTCTTGGGAGGCTGATAATGGGCTGTACTGACCATCTCATATAATCTATCAGCTTTCAAGTAGCCTATAATTTGTGTTTGTTTATAATTTTATATGGAATGAAACTCCTAAAGTTACTCAAAATATTTATTACATACATATATATAACACAAGCTTTAATATGTTTAAAATTAAAAGCAAGCCTTCATTGTTGAATACAGAAATGTATTAGCATGTACTCCCCTGCATATCGTTCTCCTAGCCTATTATTCCCAACTTAAAAATTGCATACCATATCTAAATCTTAGCTTATTCTCTTTACGAATACTTTTTTAATATTACTCTAATGTTTTGCAAAGAAATATCACACAAAAATGAATTGCAAGATTTAGGCCTAAGTTCTGCTCTTCTAAGGTAACAAATGATAGCCCTCTACTGGTTAATAAAAATATAAGCACAAGAATTACATTTCACAACAATTTACATTAATTCTATATTTAGCCAAAGTAAAAAGATATAAAAATATATATAGTACAATATAAAAATCAGACTACAGAGATGCCTGAAATATTTTATTTGGACCATTAGAAAACGTATTATTTCTAATTCATGTAGGAAACTGTAGGCCAAGGAAATGGCTGGTTCCTAAATTATATGGACAATTCTGTAGAATACTGTAATTCTTCAAAGAAGTAGCCTTATTGGACTACAGCTTTTCATACAGTATTCAAAAATAGTAACAAATGTTAATGATAATCTTCATGTTATTGTGTAACACTTTATTTTGGTCAGTAAAATGACCTGCAGGCCACAAAAATGAAATGTTGTCCAAGTAAAAATACTGTTTTTCTGACATTTTTATGGTCTAAAATAAGTTTTAAATGCAACCGTCAAAGAGCTCAGTAGCAGCTACCTAAAAATGAGAACCAAAGAATGGTATTTGATACAACATTTGGCAATATGATCCAATTTGCAAAGAAAAAATTGTTCAGGTATCAGCATAAAATTTCAGAAATATGACATATGTATGAGAAAAATCAAGAATAGTCCCCATAATTTTATTAATTTTGCCAGTTTTTAAAGACTTGTTTTCTACTTTGCCCTGAGTCTCTGTACTGCATTTTAAAATGCAAATATACATATTATAAAATAATTTTAAAATTTCCTATATTAATTTAAAAGATTCTATAGCATAATCCTGACTGTGTGGCAAATTTACAAATAATGCGTCTTCATTAATAGTGTCAGCTTGAATAAGTATGCAGTAAAAGAACATGTTAGCAGCTGTACACTTTATTTTCCCTTACTTAGAAAAAAACAAAAAACAAAAGAAACCCCACTGCAACTGCCAACATGTGACAATGCAAAACACCAAAAGAAACCCCACAGCAACTGCCAACATGTGACAATGCAAAACAAAGAACTGAAAGTATTTATTTGAATGTATTAGACAGTTGACTCAATGCCCTGATAATGGCATTTTACCAAAAGAAGATGATATTGGAGGAAATAATGGGAATTAATACCCAGTGTAAATAAAAGATTTGGAACATCTTCCACACATTCACATTATGGAAGAAGCTGGCTGTACACTGTCCCTCTGCCCAATAACTCTGCAAAAAAAGCTGTCAGTCTTCCCCCTCGCTCTCTCTGAGGGTGATTTTGACCCAGTTGAAGTGGCATCCATCTCCCCTGCAGAAGGCCCAGAAAAATTGCTTATTTTAAGAGGGGCTGGAGAGAAGTTCACCCGCCCTTCACCAAGCTGAACTGTAGAGTAAGTCTGAGGAGTGTCCTTCATTTTCACCTGCTTCCGAAAGCAGGTCTGAAGAGTCTCTCACCCCCGTGGGAACAAACAGCCTTTTCTGCACTGACTGAGGTAGGGACACTAAAAATGAGGTAGCAGGAAAATCCCGAGGTACTGATGCCTTGTGTGAGGCATGCAGGCTGAAGTTCAGTCAAGTTTGGTTTTGTTGCTTAAGAAATGCAAGTAATTAGTAACACAACAAATAATTTATAATAAAAAAGGAAAGGACCCCCTATCTCATATTTACACTCAGCACACACACACACCCCACGCAAGGAGGAGAGGGGGCTTCAGCACGCCTCAATACGAGCACCTGTGGGGAGCTTGCAGGGCAGATAAGTCCCTTCCCCACCTCATTTTTCACGCCGGTGGTTCTCGGGACTCTCCTCTCCCGCTGCCGCCCTCCCCCCGCCGGAGCTTCGCCTGACGTACCTCGCGCTCGGGGCGGGAAAACTCGCCGCGCTCGACGCTGGAGGACCGCATCGCCTGAGCCCGGCAGG